CAGGTCACGGAACGTTCGTCGGTTGCCAAGCCCCCGAACGTTCCAACTGAAGACTAACATTGAGACCGGGGAGACCCCTCAAGGCTGGTCTCCTCCGCCTGTATAATAGGCATATTAACACATAGCCGTCGTTTTCCAAGATCACCATTAACTTCCTTCTCGCTACCATCCACACCCAAATGATCTGCCAGATGCTTCCTTTTTAGATAAGGCGCAGAGCCCACTTGTATACCAGCCCCGCTGGGCTCTGCCACTCGCCTTGGCCTCCCACGTCCGCGACCCGTAACCTTACGTGCTGTTTTCTCAATTATAGGCATAAAGTTAAAAGGGTCACTAGTTTGTGCAATGACCTCATTCGTGTCCCCCCCAACGGGGTCAACAGATACTTGTACAGGCCGAGAGGGATCCATCGAAACAGAAGGTATGCCTGCCACAGGGACCACCGTACCTGTGCCCCGCTGATCAAGTGCTGAAGGGGTACTCTTGACACCCAGGTTGACATCCTGCACCAAAACGAGATCTATCACGCCAACAACAGAGGGGGAGATACCCTCTATCCCCGCATCATCTGTTGAACGACATCCAGTCATGTGAGCTATCCCCGGGCTGGATGGGAAAGCCTCTCGTCGTTGACGCAGTTCAAAAGGAGAGGAGGCCGTGTCCATGGCTTCCTCAGAGTCATGACGAGACGCACGCCAAGAGTGCCCTCCGGACCCTTCCCCACCATTCTTTCTCTCCATATGTAACGAGCCATGGCGCCTTGCCGACGACCCAATCGGTTTCCCCCACAAATTGATGACACCTTCTAGACCCTCAAAAGCAGAGGTGAAAATAGCAAGGTCCTTAGGGTTGAGTTTGCCTCTTAAAGCCTCATGTTTCTTCACGCAGTCTTGGGTAGGATGCCCCAAGCAACCACAAGCAAAACAATATTCTGGGAGATACTCATAGCGAAACTCTATGATCTTCTCCCCCACTTCCGGAAAAGTGACGGGGGTCCTTCTCATCAAAGGCAGACGGACATCAGCTCGAACCCGGACACGAATAAAACGACCAACACAGTCTTGCCCATCCCTATTGTCCACCCGTATTACCTCACCCACCGTCGATCCAATAGCATTGGCAACAGCCACCGTCATACAGAAACCGGGGACCCCATGTATCTGGAGCCAGAAGGTGCCATGGGTTAGCGTCATCGTATGAATACAGTCCTCCTCAGCCACCGCAGCCAATAAAATCAATGACCTACGAAACGTCCAAGGCTCCATGTCAAGAACCCTTTGGCGGTCCCGATCACAAACAAATCGAACCCAAAAACGATTGTGGGCTATCTCCTTGATCGAAACCTCGTCAGAGCCTTTCCACAGGCTAGTAAAAGTCTTAATAAAATTATCACGGTGAACTTCTTGCTGCGATACAATTTTAGCCACCAGACTATATGGAAACCCAACAAAGCGGTCCGATACTGCCGCACTGCCAATCACCACTCCAACTCGTTCCCGATCAGTCAGATCCAATTGCCGCTCAAAAGAGCTCTCAAAATCCTCCAGGACCATGTCGGCCCCAGTAATATACAGAGCGTGTTCCCCAAGTCACACCACACAACCCTAACCCTAGAAACACTGCACGAGTAAGCACCAGCCCGCAGACACCGCTGTAGCCTTGGAGCAGCCGTCAACCCCTAATATATAATGAATGATTCCACTACTAATATTATTAAGGCCTTTTGTGATAAAACCTCACACCTATTGGGCTTTGTAGGTGGTTAAGTTGGGGACAATATCAGTATCATTAGTAGTGAACCGCTGACCCATCTCTTTAAAATTTAACATGGTATAAGAGCCTAAATTTTCTTGTGACCTGTGCTTGCGTTATCCTTGCAATTGAAGTACTCTCCTCCCCTCATCTTCAAGAAGGAGGGAGGGGGAGTGAAAAAGATATGTTTCTCTTTTTAATGAAGATATTGCCTCTTTTTTTACTTCGACAACCTCTTCTTTTTAAGGGGAGATGATGATTGAAGAGAAGTTGTGTGTGCGTGAATTAGCTAAAGTTGATATGGAAGAATTTGTTATCATATTCAGCCACCATTTTTTTGATCATTGCAGTTGCCTATAATCCTAGCCCGCCCTCGCCATCTACCTTGATGTCGTTGCCTCCGCCTACCTTGCTATTGCCAAAGCTACCACTTACCTTGCTATTGCTGCCGCTGCTGCCTACCTTGTTATTGCTGCCGTTGCCGCCTTCCTTGCTATTACCGCCGCTGCCACCACCCCGCCATCCATTACCATGCCGAATGTTGATACCTTTATTTTTTTTTTCACTTACCTATGGTTCTGACTTACCTACTGTCGTGGTCACGAGGTTTCTGTGTTCCACCTTACGTAATGCCTTGCTTTTATGTGTTATACCTTATCTATTGTTGTGCTCACGGAATTTCTATGTTCCGCCTTACCTACTGCATGTTCACAAGGTTACTGTGTTCTGCCTTATCTATTCCCGTGCTCACATAGTTTGTGTTCTACCTTACCTAATGTCGTGTTAAGGTTTATATGTTATGCTTTTATGTGTTCTGCTATGTGCCATATTTGTTAGGGTTTGCTCTTGTGTTTATACTGCGAACTTTGATTTGGTTTGTCAGTTGTTTCACTCCACAAAGCCTTCTGTACAATTATTCGATTAGTCAATGTCAAGTATGGGGTTCTATGACTCACTTGCCAAGTTGGGCATGCAAAACATGTTTGCCCTAGCTTGAGTGGAAATGTTGGTGAGTCCTTACTTAGTTAGGATTTTGGTTCCTTATTTAGTGAGAATGTTGGTTACTTACCAATTATTATTTAGTCTTATTACAATATAGATTTATTTTCTATTGTAGTTTGGATTTATTTTCTATTTTATTTAGGGTTATACTTCTTTATAAATACCTCAATTTGGAGAAGAATAAAGATGTGAGCATATTAGAGCATAATTGAATATTTGCTCTACTTTGTTTGACAGTTGTGAGCAATAAAATAAACGAATATGATGCTTCAAGAAAACACTAAAATGAGTGTTAAAGAATACACAGAGTTCCACATCGGAAACTTAACAAAATAGAAAGTCCTATATAATAAATGGTTCCACTCCTAATAACATTGAGACCTTTTGTATAAAATCTTACACCTGCTAAACATGTGGTTGTGGTTAAGTTGGGGACAATATCGATGTTGCTAGTGGTAGACCAAGTCGTCCCTTTGAAATTTTAACATGGTATCAAAGTGGACCGGTTGACTAGGCCCGATTAAATCCAAATCAAACAAAAACCCCAAATTGAACTAAATTATTGTTATTTTTTTTAAAAAAAAATGGTGGGTGATGTGGAATTGGTTGCAAGTGTAGCCCACTAAAAAGTGGTCCCACGTTAGGAGAAGTCTTGAAGAATTCATAGTCTTACATCGGAAACTTTACAAAATAGAAAGTCTTATATGTTGCTAGTGACGGGCCAAGGGTTCGTCCCTCTGAAATCTTAACAATGAGAACCATTAATTGAATTGTCAAATTGTTTCAAATTCAAGGAGATGATATTTGAAGGCATACATGAAAGATAGAAGGTTTAAATAATCGAAATACAATGCAAGTAAGCCCACAAGAATGCCCTAATCAACATATTTGAAAGATCCATCAACTGAAATTTTATGTATATCAATCCCTTCTCTTAAGGGATCCCTTAAATAGACATATGCCTTGTGCGGTCCACTACGAATTTTATTTCAACAATCTGAACCGTCTATTTTTCAAGTCTTCATTCATAGATCGAAGTTAAGCTAACCATCCATTACAACCTCCTACATTTTCAAGAGTGACATGGTCCTTTGCAAATCCACCTCCAATTAGAATTTTCTTAAGCGTGCTACTTGGGTCGCCTCCTCGATACTAATATGAAAATTAACTAATAACTTTGGTAAATTTATGTATTTGGGATCTAATAATCCTTGTGAGGCATGATACGCATTATAAGTCAATGATTCAACCAGTCTATTTTTTGGGTATTTTTTCAAAAAGTAGCTATAAAAAAAAAAAAAAAAAAAAACCCACACTTGTACCCGAATAATTTGACCACTAAATTAAATAGTTGTCATTTTAGTGTTTTCTTAAATGGTTTGTCTATTTCATTGGTCAAAATTAGAAGTCTTAATGGCTTCCAATCTAATGTTTTCTGGATAATCTCTGAATGAAGACGTAAAAAATAAAATCATTTGAATCATTAAAATACAATGTGAAGTTCACCTTAGAGCACTTCCACCCCTCCCCTTTTGTCATGGCAAAAAGGGGTCTAGGCTTCAAAAACAACCTCCACAAATGAAAAGTTACCATGGCAAGAAGTAGGCTCACGAAACTGGGGCAAGCTCGAAGGCAAAACTTGCATAGGCAAGTTGATGTCATACATCAACGACTAATTTAAATACCACAAAAATTAAAAAAATTATCAAAAAAATCAGAATTTTTTTTCTTTTATAAATATCTAGTCATGTTCTTCACTTCCCACACCAAATTCCATATAAATTTCTCTCCTCATATCTCATGTAAATAGTGGTTGCCCTTGGGTTACCATAGTAATAGGTGGAAATGCATCAAAAAATTGCTAAGACAGTCACCATTCAAATGAATAGTATTTGCCCTTGCTTTACCTTTATTCTTTCTCATGGCACAATAGGGTGGAGGTCCTCTTACAAGAGTACAAGAGTAACCTTCAACTAACTAAAGTTATATACCCGTGAGCCACATTAAATGTGTTTCACAACCGACCCAATCGCGGGGCTCACTAGATTTGGTTCAGTTCGGCCAGGGTACGGCCCAGATTTTGTGTACCACTTGTCGTGCAAGAATTCCCAACAACCAATCTATCCAGATGAAAAAGCACAAACAATACAGATAATTTGGTATCAGAACTCATCTGTGTAAATCAAATTCACACTTCAGCAAAAACAGAAAAGGAAATTGTAAAGTTGGGGACTTTTATCCCATCTTTGTGCCCCTGATAGTCTTTTTCCTTTTGCCGCTAAATCTAAGCCAAAAAGATTCATCCACTTTGCTGTTGTGTTGTAAATCACAGCACCTTACCCAAGTACAATTTTGAAAAAGGAGAAATGGGAAATCATAGACAAGATTTGCTGAATCCCAAGCCACATAATATATATGTATATATGATTATAAGTGAATGAGTGATGATCCAAAGCCATGGGAGACAAAATTTGCAGGCACGTCTATTAGTGCGTAATCATAGAATTGTGATTTCCACCCCATATCCCTCATATCCACTTTTGCTCTTGCCTGCGATTGCATCATCACTGAAGTCTTCTCTTTATTTTATTGGGTGAGGAAGTGGCTTTTGAGGTGGGACTTTAAACAAGATTATCTCAGGCTCCACATTCAACAAGTCTCATCAGTCTGTTCATGGAAAATAGCAGATGCATTATATCAAAGACTTATGAATAAATCAAAGAGGAGGAAGGAGAGGGAAAATAATCTAATTAACACCATGAGTAAAATCCTAGACAATGTGTAGAGAATGCCGGTCTCGAACAAGCTATATGATTTTCAACCAACACCATGAGCAAAATGAAGTGAGAGATATTTAGGGACATTCCATTCTTTCCTTTTGCTATTTTTTTCGGATTGGAGGGACAGTTTGTTCTCTGTAAATTGTAATTTATACCATTTTTTACAGGATTAATAAAATATCCTATGATTGTGTTTCTCATCAATCAAATAAATGATAAATTAATGTCTTTGTATGAAGTTAAAAATACCCTTAATGAGGGAAAGGTGACCTAGTTGGATTTGACGATGTGCAAGTGCAACCATGAAACTGATTACAGGACTATTTGGTTCAATGGGTATCAAGGGATTTGATATTACTCAACTGATAAGATGGTTTATACAACATTTCGAGAACTAGAGTTGAATGACAGAATAAATTCATGTAGCCAACCTCAAGTAGTATGGGATAAATGTAAAACAAATAGCAGGTGGAAAGGTCCGGAATTCATCATTTTGACTTCTTGGAACAATTGTTTCTTCAAAGTTCCAAATCTGTTGTGGTACTCGTGTCATCTCCAATCTTACTAGATAGTACGTAACTTTGGCTCTTCAGAAATTATGATCCCATAATTTTACAAAATATAGGCATGAGACAATATCATATGTAAATTTAACGGAAGTTACAGCATCATCTAGTTTTCTTAGGGATAACAAACCAAAGTTATGCAAACAGATCAGATCTGGAAAATTATGAGAAAGTAGTAACATTCAGATAAAGAACAACACTATTAGGGTTTAATCAAATAAATGGCTTTTGAATAAGTGAACTCACATTATGTCGCACCAATAGCAACAATGAAGTCAGTTGCAAACAACTTCTTCTTTATTCTTTCCAAGCATAGAGAGCACGGTCCACAACCAAATAGTCTCCTCTGATATCCTTCACAACTCGAATCTCATCATCAAGGTACACAGTGTCAAACCTATAATGTAATAGGTTAGACCAATGAGAAGGACATTAGTAGTGAAGCCTCAAAACTGTACATGTCAAGCTGTATTCCTGTAGATAATATTTCCTATCACAGGTGTTGCATTCCTGTCTTTCAAGGGTAAATAGAAGTTATAGAACTAAGGCAGACTGCAAAGTTTTCTCATTTCTAGTTTTGAAAGATAAACAACTAAAAAGTTGAATCAGCAGTTTTCTTGCAGGAGAAAGAGAAATGATGAATATTCTGGAAGAAACCAGGTGCACAAGACAATCAACAAGATATCACCTATTAGGGGAAGATATATTACTGCCTTGTGAGAGAAAATCAAGCCTGAACAATTATGAA